AATGTTATCTACAGAATATTTTTCATTTAAATACAATTTTGAAATATCCCAAAATGGAGCACTTTATATATATATATTACTACTTAATGTTTGATAATTTATGCAGAAAAGTTTTCTTTTTGTTTTGTTGTTGACCAAAACCAAGAGATTTCTCTCCCACCTATTATTTGTGAACATATTTGGCCTTTGTGATTTAAATCAGGCTTAAAAGTGGTTATATTCAGTATAAACTGTAACACTTTTTGAACAACTGTTTCTGTAGTGACAAATTTAATGGTCTGAAATACAGGGATACTGTAATTAAATAACTCAAATAAGGTAAATTGGGAGGCAAGTTATGTTAAATTTAATATTTGATAAATTATGGTGTGAGAGTGGTTTTAATTTAGTTTTGGCAAGCACATTTGATCTGTTGGCAGCTATACATGTTCTTTCCTTTAAAATACAATTATGTTTGCTTTTTTAAATCTATTTTTGCAGATTTTTGAGAAATACAGCTTTCCCCCCTTTGCCTATGACTATATCCATTTACCTTCTGTCAGTGTACTACCAGTTACATTTTGCTGGTCTCATCAACACCTAGATTGCAGATTGATTAGTACCAGATCTTTTGTACAAAGCAAAAAAGGTCTGCCCCCTTATAGGTCAAATTATGAGTGCTCTCCAAAGCCCCAAGAAACTTTAATTAATACACCAGTAGAAGAAGTAAAAACAATTGATGTGGACCATTTGAAACTAGAAGAGGACACAAATGCTTATGTTAACCTGGGATTCAGTCCTGCTCAGATAACACAGCTATTTAGCTTGCAGCTGGATGTACCATTTCAGTCAAAATTGACTGCAATTTCAGAATTACTCCTATTGGGTTTAAGCATAACCACAATACTGAAGATCTTAGAAAAGAAGCCTGAACTGCTGAAAATGTCACCAAAACATTTGAAGGAACGTGCAGATCTTCTGAGGAGATTTGGCTTAGATGCAGGTAATGCTTTCCCTGAATTGTACAGTTACTGAATTTATATACTGAATTGAGTGAATTATTTAGTTCTAATTTGTTTAGATTCTGTCCACAATATATTCAGTTTTCCTAAGGAAAATGTTCATGTTCAGTTAATCATAAGCAGTCAACGGATAGTCATCAAATTGCTCCAAATAGCTACACATGTTTCTGATCAATTCCTTAACCTACACTGAATTTCTTATATATAGGTGCCAATTGCTTGCCAAAAGAGAATATTAGGATATTTCACCCACCATCTTTCATTTCAGCATAACCTTTTTTGCTGACAGAATAAACATTTGGGGGTTTGGTGGGCATCTCAGAGGATTAAAGAGTCTAGAGTAGTGCTGTCACTCGACAAAATGGGATTATTTTGCCACACACACACACATACACTTCTGGGAGAGATCCTAGAATTGGGCTGAACAAGTGCTTTAAGCTTCTGTTATCCTTAAACATCTATTTTGATATTTTTGCTGTTTTTTGAAATTATGTTGAAATTCAGTGGTGAAAAGATTGAGGTCCAATGTCCTGGGGCTATAGGGGAAAAAGATACTTAGTGAAGGTGATTTGTTTACTAGCTTCATTTGAAAGGTAAGAGTAAAATTATACATTTTCAAATGCTTATGGCATAGGTTATAAAAAGGGGAAATCAAATCACTAAAATAATGATTTGTATCTTTAAAATGTTTGCTCAGTGAAATCTTTTTAAAATCAAATAGAAAAATAATAATAATAAATAATAATAAATTTAATTTATATGCCGCCCTTCTCCCAGCAGGACTCAGGGCGGCGCACAACATATTTAAAACAAAACATAAATACATTCCCCCCCGATAAAACCGAATTAAATCAAATTTTAAAGTTGTGTCTCTGTCAAATTGTTAAAAGATAAACCCCAAATAAAATCCTCCCTAGGTCAGGTCCGCTTGCTGGAAGAGCCATGTCTTGAGGGCGCGACGGAAAGCAAGAAGATC